AAGCAACCTCTTCTTCACCAGCTATGGGCTATTTAATCAGTATTGTATCACTAAATAATTGTTATGTGCATCTCGTATTAAATAACCTATAAAGAGTTGATAAAAACCAGAAACCGAATAAAACAAGTATGTCTGTTGGGAAAGAGTTACAATATCGTGGATAGATCGTGTAGATTTTAAATAGAATCTTTGAAAATCATCATGCATTTTTGTGTTCTATGTCCACATTGTTATATCTCATTTATATATATATATATATATATATATGTGTGTGTGTGTGTGTGTGTGTGCGTGTGTGCGTGTGTGTGGAGGGTTGCTGTAAGGTTATATTTAATCATATTGATATATTTGAATACATGTATTCAAAAGTCATGTGATATAAAAATGAATGCATATGATTCCCTGTCAATGGACAGAAAATGAATGAAATTTTCAATGTAGGCAAAGCTGACGACGTGGTGTCAATAGTTTCCCGCAAGGTATAGTTATTTTGTCATCTATGTCTTCGGAAATAAAGATATTTCACTTCAGTTTAATCAACACCTGTCATATTTAACTTACGTTTACGTCGCGACAGTGAAAACGACACGGGAATCTTTTTCCAGAAAAGAACATTGTCACTTCTTTATAATAAGAGACACTATTTTCTAAAATGAATGATCGCTTCTCACAGTCAGTATTCACATATATTAAGAGCAGCATTCCAGAAACGCTCTAGCTCATATGAATATAAATATGAAAGCAGTTAGATGCGTAAATACATGTACTTATGCATATAAACATACAATTTATTTCTATATTAATCTATGTTTAAAATAAGTATAAAATGCCGGGATTAAGCTGAAGATAACTTAACTTTTGCATATATTTACTCATGCTATAAAGTCATACATATATTGCATATTGATCTCATTATAGCCGTATTGTCCTTTAAAACTAGTATTAATTTCAACGCACCGCGATGAAAATCACTATTTGACTCATAAACATGTCTCTTAAAAAGGCATCTTATTGAAATATGCAATGATGGTCGAACAGGCAACATAGTGACCCGTTGTGATAAATGTACATTTTTACTATAGAAAGGAAGTTGTAGTATTTTACTGTAGAAGATATTCTCGAGACACCGAAATTCGACTTGTTAAATTTCTTTCTTTATTTTTTTACCAATCTTGGTCCTCGAAAACGGGTGCAACATTTTCTGGCATTTGCAGACGATATTCCTTTAGAAAAGCTGAAGGATAAAATCACTGGAAAAATCGTAGTGTTTTTGCACTCTTAAATTTTAAAGAAATTTTGTTTAAATTTATATTTTAACCAAGAATAATTTAACCTGGATGGATAAGATTTATGGGTTGTATTGCTCTGATGAACTTTCCTTTATAGTATCTAGACTTTATGAATACGGCATGGGCTCATCATTCTACAGTTAAAACGACTAGATGCAAATGTAAGTTATATTCTAACACTTTCTTCTTTGGCAATCTTTGCTTTTGGAATTTTCTATCGGCTTCTTGCACCCGAGACAATTTTGATTTGCATACATTTTTATGCAGTATCACTCGTTATCAACCGTCGTCTTAATTTTTTCTCTCACCTTAATAATTTTTCCCATATTCTCTAACAATCTTCTTAACGGCTTTATTGAATTTCATGGGCTGAAATGATTAAAAAAAAAAGATATCGATTATTTATAACAATTCTATATCCATGACTTAATTGCATAGGGAACGATAATTGGACTCTTGCTAAGATAAAGGCTGGATTTAAAATGGTTCTTATTGGTGGGTACAATTTTAACTAAGTCTGATATGCAGATGACACCATTCTGTTTGCAAACAAAGATAACTGCAGGTACTTTTATGAAAAGTATTTAGGGACAGCGGGAAGAAAAGACTTTCCATAAACTGTAAGAGAATATAACGCAAGAGGGGCAAACCAAGATTCTAGTTACGAATTGAATACAACAAAATAAAACGTGTACAGAAATTTAAATATCTGAGAAATTCTTTAACAGATACGGAACATATGATACAGAAATTCCGAAGATCATTTAATTGGTGAAAGTTCAGTCCAAAATATATATCTACTAAGAAATAGTAAGAAACATCGATTTCGTTAGAAGTAAACAAAAATAATAGTGAAATGCGTGTAATTTTAATGTTCCTATACGGCCTTTAATAATGGACAATGTCCTCATAGAAGAAGTGACCTGAGGGGAGTAAAATATTGTTCCACAGAAATATTCTGAGGATACGACGGATGGAACATGTAAAGAAAGAGGAAGTTTTAAGGAAAATAGGATCACAATGGACAGTTAGAATCCGAAAGAAGACAAGTGAAATTTCAGCGATACATCATGAGTGAAGAGAGAGTGTGGATATATTGAAATTATATTAAAGACAAGAGAAAAGGAAACAGCCTACGTAACTAATGAACTCATCTGGATGGATTTGTAGAAAAGGAATATTATGGTTTGGTTTGGTTTGGTTTGGTTTGGTTTGTTTTACGGCATATCAACCTCAATGGGTCATTTCATGATAACGACATATTTTTCCTGGTAATATTTTTTTTTGTCAAAAGTCTATTTCTATTAATATTTTGTCCTCAAAAATGTATAATGTGTAATATTATTTTTTCAAAAACGTATAGCAGGTAATAATATTTTTCCAAAAACGTATAGCTGGTAATATTATTTTTTTCAAAAACGTACAGCTGGTAATATTATTTTTTTTCAAAAACGTATAGCTGGTAATATTATTTTTTTCAAAAACGTATAGCTGGTAATATTATTTTTCAAAAAAGTGTTGCTGGTAATAATTTTTTCTTCAAAAACGTATTGCTAGTAATATTTTATAATGCTTTTTACATCATTTTCGGCGTTCACTATTTGCCCATAGCTGGGACCCTAACAGGTGCTACCACCACGAGTCAGTGTGGACCTTGGAATACCATCAATGAAGAGGTAGTTCCATGCTCGTCAAAACCTCCTGATTAGAGGTCATGCTGTTGGGCGTAGTTTATCGTCACACACAGGACGCAGATCAAGTGTGACGTCATACCCACGGCGCGGAATGTGATGGATAGTAAAAAGTACAAATTAGTGCTAGAAAGGAAAATATGATTTGGATTGCCTACAACCTAAAGAAACACGCTGCATAAAAGAACCTAGTCCTCCCCAAATCAGAAAAAAAAAACATCTTACTTTATTTATTTCTTATTATTCTTGAGCCAGACTATGTAAAACATATTAAATATCGAATTTTATGCTATTTTATGAATTCATTTACAAATTGCTGAAGGTATTATGAAAATATTTTACTGAACTTTTATCCAATCAGAGGATAGTAATATCCTCACAAACCTAATGTATCTTTTGATGTATTCGTTCTGCCTTCCTTCGCCAACTTTTAACATGAAATCCTTAAAGAAACTGGAGAGGAAAAGAGGCAATAATCTTGTGTCCAGTGGTATCTACGCCAATTAAGCCAGTCATAGATTTATATTGAAGTTAGGATTTGGTAGTCTACGATTTTATCTACAGGCAAATACGTGTGATTTAATGCAGTTGCTGGAAATAATATATATGTGGCATTATCTTTCTCATAATATTCCAATGATTTCGAGTCTGTGGAAGGATTAAAATTGATATTTATGAGCAAACACAGACGCTAACCAGAAAATGTTCGTAAATCTCCGTCAGTAAATTTTAAATGAAAAGGAAAGCAGTTCGTTAACCAACAACGATATAATAACGAAAGAATATAAAAGTATTGCATGACTAAAGATATGATGATGGGTGCTGAAGTTTTAAGAAGAATAATACTATATATTAACCATAATAAAAGAATAATTATTATAACTACAACTAGTACTGCTATTGCTGTACCTCAGCTTAGGCGATCATGTATCTTTTGATATATGACTGATGAAGCAGATTTTTTTCCCGCAGTAGGTTATCATTTCTTTCTGCGGTAGTCCAGTTGCCATTCAAGGCTATAGAAGCCATAGCTGAGTAGGGCAGGAGAGGATTCATAACTTATATATTATATTAGACGTATACCACATGATGTGCGCGTTTCCGTCTCTCCACAATTTCCTGTTATTTGTTGCACAGAGTAAGGTTTGCCTTTTCGCTATCTCTTCTAAACCCTGTCCTGCCAACCACATACGTATCCTTCTTAGTAGGTTTTTATACTTTCTTCTGTCCGTCTTACTTTTAATATTGACTATCAGATTTTTGCAGTATGGCGGGTCACACGTATCCATGAATGCCTCTCTGCTAGGGTTCTTTCTAATTCATGCTGAAGACGACTGATGAAGCATATTTAAACACCCATAAAATCATCTTTTGGTTTATTGCGAAACGATGCTGACTTGTAAGAATTTCTACGAGACAGCGTGTAATCTGGCCTGATTATCATTATGAATAAGACGACTACGCGTAAACCTTAAATCCTGATGGTATCAGATTTCACTCTCCAAGCCCTGTAATCTACCAAATATCACTCATAGGCTCTGACCAAACTGTGGTATGGCTTCCAGGTGTTTCCTAATAGTGATACTCGTTTAAATCGTTGCCTCGGATTGATAATATCAACAAATCACCCGAAAAATAGATGATGGTGTGATTTGAACTTGTTTCTCATTGTTGAAATCCTAACTTTTGGTCATCCAATAATATTGCATCTAATAATGCATACATTCATACCTTCATATATACTCTAAATGTAATCGTGCAAATTGCAAATGCGTTGAAAACTGAAATATCAGTTATCACAGAATTCTTCTATTCTTTCGGCTTTTATCTGTATCTACTCATTTTCTCCTTTATCCATTCTAATCTTCATTGATAATCCATATATTCATCTGATACGCATAAAATAAAAATAACCACGCTTACATTTTCAGCACGTCAGCACTTTCATCTTTCAATCCATGAAGAAATCTAATACGTTTGCGCTTATCTCTCTTTTAAACTTGGTTACATTGATATGTAGTCAATAAGGAGGCTTATCTATATATTGCTGTTATTCCCATTCTATTTCCTATCTATCTATCTATCTATCTATCTATCTATCTATCTATCTATCTATCTGTCTCAGGCTCTGTTCATAATCCATCCTATCTATCTATCTATCTATCTATCTATCTATCTATCTATCTATCTATCTGTCTGTCTCAGGCTCTGTTCATAATCCATCCTATCTATCTATCTATCTATCTATCTATCTATCTATCTATCTATCTATCTGTTCATAATCCATCCTATTTCTTATCTATCTATCTATCTATCTATCTATCTATCTATCTATCTATCTAAGTTCATTCATTATCTCTCTATCTCTCTCTCTATATCTAGCTATCTCACCGTCTGTACATAATCTATTTATCTATCTATCTATCTATCTCACAGTCTCATCATAATCTATCTATATATCTCAGACTCTGTTCATAATCCATCCTATTTTCTATCTATCTATCTATCTATCTATCTATCTATCTATCTATCTATCTCACTGTCTATTCATAATCTATCTATCTATCTAGCTGGATAGATATCTCAGTCTGTTCATAAATCTATCTATCTATCTATCTATCTATCTATCTATCTATCTATCTATCTATCTATCTATCTCACAGTCTGTTCATAATCCATCCTATCTATCTATCTGTCTATGTATCAACATTTTTTCATACCATCGATCACCCAATACAAATCCAAAAAGCAACTCAAGTTAGAGTGTTATTGTATAAGGCTGTTGACAGGACTTAAAGGGAGGAAATACGAAGTGTATATCATCAGTATATATAACGGTTGTTCGTAGACGTGAAGTGGTGAAGCGCGTTGTGATCAAGGAAGCCTAATATCCGGTTTCCTTTCTGGAGAAAGAAGCTGTCCGAATGAAACCTATTACCTAGCAATGGAATACGAACGGGGTACCGATAACCTGATTCTTTGTACGTGATACAATGAGTTCTGTCTGAGAAAGTATTCTAGTAGAATTATGGGATGTCGCTCGTCTGAACATTTGACGTGAAAGTAGCGATAGAGTCACTAGAGACCAGCAACGCTTCGTCTGTAGGAGAGAGTGTAGGGTGGAAATAATCCATCACCCACAGGGCCGCGCAAACCAAGACTTACTTATAAGGGTACGGCTAATATTACTATTATTATTAGAGATGAGGCTGCTATAGTTTTAGTCCAGTTCAATTAACAGGGAGTGAGAAAAATTATAACTCTTGTAGCACTGTCTATTTAGATAATGAATACCGAATGTTTCATTATAAAAATACGGCTAATATTACCACACCATTTTATCACGGTATCATTATGTTAGTATAGTTAACAGATTTTATATATTTGCTTCAGCAATTTTATTCGTGGATTGACGATTTAAATTCATCCAGTATTGAGAATTTTATGCAGTTGAATGTCATTTTGACGTCCTTCCTTTTCATTTGCATGTCCTGTTTTCTTCCTAAAATAACTGTACTGGTACTAAAGTTATAAATATGGAACTTCGTGAGAACTGGGAAATATCTTAAAATGAATTCCGGTCTTCTTGTAGGCTGAGATAGCCACGGAGTTACCGGCATCTCTGGTTATCAATGTTTGGATTCCGGTTTTAAAAAAAATTAAAATATTGATTTTGAAGGAAAGTACTCAAAACATCAAAGGGAACAGTGAAGCGACACTATTTAACTTTGTTCAGTTTTCTGATAAACTTAATATCTAAATCTATCGATCATTGATAAAAGAAAAAATAAAAGGATAAGATACTTAAAGGTGTGAAATAATTTTTAGTTATTAAAGACAATTATTGATAATGAAATGTCAAAATGAAGCGCTGATGTATGGTGTATCGCTGAAACAAATATTAAATAATTTTGACTCAACAAAAGTACATATAAGGAACAGTAAACACATTATTTATGATCTTTGAGATTAGCTTCTTAGTCAATACATAATGACTGGATGCATATCCAACATGGATGCTGATATATATGCAAGAAAACTCAATATCCGTATTATAATCAATGGTTATGGAAAAAATAAGACAACCAGGATCGAATTCAGTCTAGCGTTTTTTCCTTTTCTTTTTAATACCATGTCCCTTCAGGACGTAGTCGAATATGGCCTTCCACGACTTCCTTTTCTTTCTAGCTCTTAATGCACTTTGTATCCCTGTTATTAGCTACGTAAGTATGTTATGCGTTATCTTCGTCTATCTTTCTTGCCATCCACCTGTTCTGTGAGTATCAGATTTTCAAAGCCTTCCTTCCTTATTATATACACTAAAAACCTCAACTGTATCTTCCTGAAGTTAAGTATTAGTTTTCATTTTGTTTCCATTTTCTCCAAGGCTTCGTTGATACTCGTATGTCCGGTTCAGGATCGTCACAGAATTCTTCTGTAGAAGAAAATTTCTGCTGCTTCAAGTTTCCCTCTCATTTGTGTTAAGATCGTCCTGCACTCACTGTCATGCAGAAAGAGAGGTATCAAATGGCAGTTTAGTACTCTTTTCCTTATTTCAAGCGAATTTTTTTATTATTATTTCTCAGTAATCTGCTTAGCTTTTGCAATGCTTCCTTGGCTATCCCAATATGCCTTTGGATCTGAGTGTTGCTCTTTCCGTCCTCAGTTAAAACACTTCCAAAATATTTAAAATCCCATCAATTACTTGATACGGGTTTTCAGTTCGGGCGATGAGCCCTTCCTTTTGCTGACAACCTTACGAGAATTTGATTGGCACTAACAACCTTAGAAAAATCATTGTAGTAGGTTTTTGCTTTCGATTTTTCCACTCTAGATATATTAACAACATTTTAATCACTGGTAGAGCCTAAAATTCGAAAGAGGAAAATAATGCAGTCATTATAGAATTATTTTTTTCTGATTAAGCGCCCAAGATATATTTTCTAATCCATAATTTATTACTGGCGAGTATAATCCTAATGACATAAGATACGTAGACAATACACTGTTAATGGCAGACTCAGAATGAAAACTGAAAGCACTGTCAGATAATGTAGTAAAGAAAAACAAGAAAAAAGATCTAATTACTAAGTGTCAGGAGACTGAATGCATGCTTGTCAGTAAAAGAATCAAAACAATGTATGACCTAACTATAGGGAGTCGTCAAAACCACACGTTTGCTGAAATTCATCTAGGTGGGAAGTGTAGCAACTAAAGATAAAGCAGCGACACATACATTATAAATTGTATAGGAAGTGCAAAAAAAGCTATGCATTTAAGAAGAAAATAGGAGAAACTTGCATTAGAAACAAAAAAAGCTGAAGTTCAATTTAATATTCTGTCTCTTATACAGAAGTGAATACTCTCAATCTCTTCGCAAAGAAAAAGAGTGATGAAGAGTCAGACATTTATTAGCAACGTCAAATGTTAAGAGTAGGATGAACTCTACGTGTGAGCATCGAGAAGGACGGCAATTATATTAACAGTTTAGTCACCTTTTATTTGATTGTAATATTTCTTTCATCAGATTTCGTTCCATCATGAACTCTTTGTCCGTTTGACATTAAACATTTCCAAATGTCTTAATGAATACAGAACATCTATAATTTATATGAAGTCTTTTATTAACATCTCTTGGAAGCTGTTTTGCACCTTTGTATTTGAATAAGTGATTTAAGAGATTCTGAAGTTACATTACGATGTAACTGACGACAAAGGAATTGAAGGAAATAAGAGAAGAAAAGCGAGAAATAAAACTAAGAAGAAACACTAATGCGTTTATCACGTGAGCCTTGAAGGGAAGCAATAATATAGTAAGCCAGGCAATGAGGCACTATTTCTAAGTTAATTCAACAAATCGTGGTTGTTTTCTTTTTGTTCTTCACCATTAACACATTGATTCTTGATTTGATTCTGATGGAAAACCCCAAAGCTAGGAACTCCCTACATATGCAGTTTTTTTTTTAAACCTAATTGTATTTTAAATTGAGATGCAAAAGGTGTAAAAAAAAAAAAAGCCGGAAATGAGGGAGAAGGTTAGCACGACATTTTTGAATAAGTAATTAGGCTAATCCGATTTTGATAATTCGGTTGTGAATGTTGTCTAGCATATAACATGTAATGTCGCACGGTTACTCTGGAAAGATCACAGTTTAACGACCTTGTATAAAGTAAATGCATATGCAAGAAACGATACAAATATTTAAATCGGTAGATCGTTCACGAAGAATGAACAGTTACCAATTTGCAGTAAGAGAGCTCCAATTTGAGAAAAATCAACATTTGGGTTTACCGGTACAATTCATCTCCAACTGCAGAATATATACCAACCTCTATGAGCGGTCAGATGTGCCACAAGGCCGTAGGCTCGGCCAAAAATTCCTCGTAGACCCCGTATAAAACGAGGTCGGGTATCTGTTTCCCGAGACGAGACGCTGCCCTTCGACATGGTCCCCTCTGGGCAGAGAGTTTGAGCAGTACAACTTGAGACGAATCTTCGACTGCAGATCAACATACAGTATTTACTACTGTATTTACGTGAATGGGGTCATACCCATTATCACGTTAGGTATGCTACAAAACACACACACACACACACACACACACACACACATATATATATATATATATATATATATATATATATATATATATATATATATATGACTTACGTGATACATCAACATCAGTGATTTTTTTTCTATGGACGTGACGTGACTTTCATCCCTCTTTTTTACGAATATTTTAATAGAAATATTTAATATTCTTAAGTCATAAAATGAGTCCTTTTCTTTAATAGCACAAGTGCGTGAATTTCAGCTGACTAAAATTCAATTGGTAATTATGTCTCATCGTCGTACTGTGGAAATATCTACAATGTATCCACAACTTCTATTCTAAAAGCTTCTTTCCTCCGTTGTGGAACTCGCTTACGATGTTTTGATTTCCTGCCACCTACAACGTTCAAATTTTTAATTGCAACGTTTATCGCCATCTTCTGTCTTCCGAAATACTTTTTTTCATTGTCGTTTATCCTCACTAAATTCTTTTCTCTTTCACCCTCACTCGCCTTTAACATCAAATCGCCTTGCTCGAGGTGTGATTATTTTTACGAACAAGAACCAAACGTAATATTTATCAAAATTCAACGTCATCTATGATTTGATTACAGTGCTGAAAGCTTTTACTGAAACTTCTCCAAGTTTCGGAAGAACTGATCACAAAGAAATGGAGTATAGACAACCAGGAAATCTCCAAGTAGTCTTATAAGGTTTGAATTCAGAGTTACCATGTCGAGAAAAGACAATTTACTATTATGTTGTCCTAAGCTCGGGTAAGACGGATCAGGTATTTTCCAAACTTCAATTTAATTCAAATTACAGGAAAATATGTCTTTTCTAAACACTCAATGTTCTAACATTATTTCACAAATAACATTTGAGATAAATTCTATTTGTGTAAATGTATTTTCCATTCTGTTAAACCTTGCCATTTGAATTATATTCTTGTCTGTTGGAATATCCTAAATATAAGAAGTTTACGTTGATGAAAGCAACTAAACGAAAAACGTTGTTCTTTTACGTCCCTTCAACTTCTTAAATGGAAAAATAGATCGTCATTTATTGAATATATATATATATATATATATATATATATATATATATATATGATAATTTACATTATTCGGACTATTGTCTCAT